CACTAAATATCATAGAAGCTCTTCGTCAAATCTTGGAAAGCAAACATGTAGACCAGTTTTAGCTTATATTTATAAAATCTGTGATTGCTGCTATTTATTTTTTCTATGAGCAAATAACGCTACAGTGGAACATATTATCAAGTATACCGATTGTTTAGGGTAAACAGTGATATTTCCTATGAGGTGAAGGACACATTTTTCGCTATCTTTTTCATATTTTGTATGATTTATTTTACTTCCTTTTATTAAATATGCAATGATACAACTTTCAAAAAGTGGAAGGTGGCCAAGTACATGGGGAAAGTCAGGTGTTGCTTGTGGTAGTGGGATTCTAACACATGTCCTCCGAGGCGATAAGTTGGAACTTTACCGCTTGATTCAAAAGTATTTAATGAGAATAAAGACAAAAGTATGATCTTGTTCATTTTGGGCAAGCCTTCTTAAATAATGACCAACAATTACCTAAACTCATAATAGGGAACATATATCAGGCAATACAGATTTGCTTCAAGGAACCTATACTTAAAATGAAGTTATAATAACCAAATTTTTGCTTTTTTATTGTGTTACATGGCTTCATGTCTATTTATTTGACTCAGCGGCATGGAAGGTTTTATGCAGTTTAAAAGCCGTAATTTTAAAGGCGAATCAAGGAGAAATTCATGATGTAAACTGCTGGCACCGGTTTCTGATTCTGATTACTTGAAGTGTGTATCCAAAGTCCTCGCAAACAATGCTTTTTTTCGTTAAAATAAAGCGAAGCTATTTGACCAGTGGGTGTTTTATGATTCACACAGATTCATTTAAGAACCGTAAAGTATAAATTATTAATTTCTATTTGTAATGCTCTTAAATTTCGAAAATCATCCTTCGGTTCCCTACGCGGATCAGACGAAATGCACCAAAATGTCCGTATCACTCATGCAGTCGTACCGGAAAGCTTGGATATCTTATTTGCAAGCTAGCATTGGCACTTTATTTCACATGTGCAAGACCAATATCGGACTGAAAACAGCTGTTCACTAGAAAGAAAAACATGAGTAGGGGGCGAATAAGATCACACGGAAAAAAGTGTCTGATCTAAAACAGAATAATAAGAATTTCATGAAGCACTCAGAATCAATGGTCGAACAGTCCAACGGTATGTTCTCGTCTTCTGTAGCTACACTATGATATACACTAATTTACTCCTGTTCGTCTTGTTAATTTTCGAATTATTTGATAACTTGCCGGCCGACTCCTCTTGCACTCACCTACAATGCTACTCACTACCGTGAGTAGTATCTCAACATACATGAGTATAAACTATGTTTTTCAGGCTCATTTGACTGCAACATATTTTTTTAAAAAAACACCGATTCCCGAAACCGTCCTATTCTAAATATATTTTTCATCTTTCTTTCTGTTTATTATTGGAAGACTTTGGTTTACAGGATGAAAAATCCCTTACCGTTCAGCAAGCCAATGCGATTGACAAAGCTGACACACCGCTTTTCTGGTCACCGTGGAGTGCCTGTTCAACCCCATGTGGTATGGGTGTGCGCACAAGACAGCTGCTATGTGCGTCTGTGAATGGTGGTGCGACACATTCCGTCAGTACCTGTGCGGTTATCGGATCGGAGGCAATGGAGAGTGAGCTATGTCGGAATGATACTTGTCCTTGTGAGTTTAAATCCACTTCAATCGATCGATGTTTCGTCCGTGCAATGGATGGTGTATATTTCCTTGTTTCTAATTTTAGAACTTGCCTACTAAAATGAAATACAAGTAGGTGTAGAAATGTGTTGATTATTTTATTTTGAGTATAACCTTGAATGGATTTTCGTGTTCATAACATCACTAAAATAAATGGAATTCCAACTTAATCCGTAAAGCACCCATATTTAAGAATCTGTGTATTCACTTCTCACATTGACATTTATTCCCTTTTTGTATTGTGTGCTCTGGTTTGTCACACTTTACTACTGTTGCTGTTCAATGATTAGGTTTGTATACCATACTGTGTTGAAAAGGCGGAAAATTCTATTGCAATCCCGCTTAAAAAAAAATCGATAGACTAGCTGTGTCGGAGTGTATACTTTTGTCTGGTTCCAACAGTTTACTTCGAATAAAACGATCTGGGTGTCCTTGTCGCACGTCTGGCGATACACTTCTTGTGAACAAATTCTTCGAGTTCTCAACGTGTAACATTCAATCAGGATTGTTTTAGTTTAGTAGGTGCATAGTTACGTCAGTTAGTGTACTGACTACTTCATATGCGAACCCATCATATCTCCTGTTGAGCAGTACATCTATATAGACGTTTGCTCGTCTGCACCTGTCTCCTTTAGGGACCGGATGGTTTTGTGTGTGCGGAGTTAAAACTACCCCGCAGCTGATGAAGTCGGTATTTGGAATTATGTGTGCAAAATGTACGTTGTTCATAAATAGCAATTTAAATGCAGGTTGGCAATGATATTTTCCAGTTAATTTTTCTCTGATATCCCCTTGAGGAAATCCGCTAAAAGTGGTCCTGGTGAGAAAAACATTACAATTCGGTGCCTTTATCGATAAATGGTTCCGAATATATAATTATCGCGCATCTTAAGAAAATCACAAATTAACTAACAATCTCGTTTGCAGTGATCGCTTTGTAGATTCATACATCACAATTTGTATCAAAGTGTCTAGTATTACAGCATTAAAACGAAAATTTAACCTTCTCGTTCCATAACAGGAAGACACTTACACTTTGGTCACTACACATTCGCATTGGTTCGTGTCAGGGTGGATGCTATTGGTCTTCCATGACACGACAAAGTCATATGCATATTGTGATGTATTGGAATGACTGTGAATCGCTGAAAAAGAGCTTTTGGCTAATCTTTGCTATAAAGGATTTAGAAGGAGTTGAATATTTTTGCATATATGTGTTGTAAAAATCACAGTACTGACTTTGAAGTTAATTCCATTGTTTCGGAGGGGGGGAGGTAGCAGATGGTCGATCAAACAGGAGATCTTTTCACTTGACAGCGCGACAAATCAATGACAATTTAAACAAAATCAGATTACTGTTTTGAGGCTGATCAACGGAAACGCTTTTTTAATTGCCGTGTTCACAGAACTATCGTTTTCATTTTCACGTTCCTATCATAGTTATTTGCATCTTCTTGGCGGCTATTTGACAACGTAAAAAAATTGATTACTTTCAAGTATACTCATACCAACATATACACCTTTGCCCATCAAACTTTAATCAAAACCCGCAATGCCCCCGACCCACAATTCTTTACCTGCTTGGTTAGTTCAGTACGCCTCGATTAGGGCAAATGAATCCCTAATTTGTCTCAAACATGAGTCTATTGCATCGGCTCTCGTAGGTTCAGACAACAAATTAAGTTTCACCAAAAGTGCCATATGGATGAGTGATCTATTTTTCACACTGAGCCAGTACCCCTAATCGACCCAGGTGGAGCCTAGACGTATGAATACGTTGGCGTTAGCGGTTTCCAACCAATAGCACATTCCGGACTGTTTCATCGCGCGCTTTTCTCGTGGTCCGTTTGTTCCGATGCCTCGGATAAAAGCTTCAAATTTTTCGAGTAGCTACGCAAACCTGAGGAAACTGTAACTTGAAGTGTGGAAGGGCATGTGTGTCACTTAGGATAATGAGAATAATGGGTCTGACTGGGGTTGTTCTGTATTGATAAACACTCGTAATATCTGTATGGTGAATAAGCATGCTATAATTTTCAAATGGTATAAAGTGAACAACCTAATTTTGGTCACGGACCATACAGAACAGGACAGTAAAGTTCATGATTATGGGAATAGCAGGCGCCACATAGAGATCAATATGATGGGGATGGCCTATAAAACTCGATCAACTTCTTCAGACTGTTGGTGTAAACGTTTTGTCTCAGTTAGCACAATGTCTTGCTTTGCCAGGCATTTTCTTGTGCACAACATTGATAAAAGGTGAAAACCATCACTGTATCGTTCCACTTGTTTATGGTATTTAGGCGGAAAAGTGTGGTTAATTCGATTTATTCGTCCATTTAGTCCGACAAAGAAAAACAGAAAGAAATCATTTACTCGGTTATTTTACCTCAATGATATCACCAATCAATCCAAGAAAAATAAAATCCAAGGAACTAATATAATGAACAGAGCGAAATGCCCGCAAGCAACATGGAGTGGGGTACATCCTATATAGACAGAATGAAAGACTGTTTGATCCGCTGCCCGGGGATTAAATGGGTTCTATTTGTGAGAGCCCCGGGTCACGATCCTCAGTTGGGTTGGTGAATTCGATCACTGCCGCTGACGGGACTCAAGCAACGTGAAACAACTCACGCTTCGTTCACTCTGTACATAACAAAGTTCATCATATGTTTCCATCTCAATATTGCCATTTGACAGTGCAGGTCTTGGGTCTATTTGTTCGATTGTGTGAACGAGGATTCATTAGTTATCTTTCAACGTAATACTGATTCTTTTGTTTGTTTCATTTTACCGAATCCAACACGATTTTTTGTATTTATCGTACTAACCTATCAATTCAATCGCTACTCTACACTTTGAGGCGAACAATCACATTGTGTCTTTTTTATCTAGCAAAGGTAGTGAACACCAAATGGACTGGTTGGTTTCAACCCCCCACGAAACATGCTGCTGATGATTCGACCAACATAGTGAATGCGCATCTCCGTCAGCGTCTTCGCTTCACCTGCCAAGCCCCAAATGCAACGACAAGAGATTTACGTATTGGTCGTGTGCACTTCATGGAACATCGTTGTGCACCTTGGAATGGTATTTGTACACCAGTTACCGGTAAGTAAATTCCGTTCTAAATGGGTGATAAATCAGGCCGGTGTCGAACACATTTGGCTGATTTGCATCTATAGAATGGTTAAACATTTGTGTGCTATCGGGGACGGAAATGGTTTACTGAAACCGAGCAGTCGCAGTCCAGTTCAATAGCTCTCGAGTAGACAGCAAGTATTCACATAAACATTACCTGATACAGCAATCATTCATTGACCTTGAACTCGTTCCCTTATATCTAAGTTACTTCATTGTTCTACTACCTACCTACATTTCGGTTACGTTTAGGATATTCTTATGACTTTGCGGTTTATGTAAACAACGAGAAAAATGCGCATCTATGTTCCTCTATCAAGAAAACGTTTATATTCGCAAAATAAAATGGATACAATCAATTTTTGCACACTGTTGCAATTTATAAGTGACACTGATTTGATGTAATGAGTTATCGTGTCTTGCATAAAACATTCACTTCAAATGAAGCTGTATTTCGTAGGGTCAGACGACATGTTACTCACGAGCAAAATACACGTTGTGAGAACAGTAAAGTTTTGGTCGAACATTATTCTCAACTAGTCAACCCTAAAATTGGCCGTTTATTTTTGCTGCATCTTTCTCTTCGAACGTCACAGTTCGAAATCGAAACAAGTCACGTGACAGGCAGAGAGAGAGAGTTAAAATTCAAATTGTCTACTCGGTAAAAACTCCCCGGTCGCTAGTATATTCCGGGACCACAGAACTCAATCGATGGTAAACATCGAGCCAATGAATGCATCTCTGTTTCAATCTGGCTTGTTGTGGGTGTGGGTTACCAGCTAATATAGCACATTTTACTTTGAACTATTGTTGGGACCAGTTTGAGATCGAAAATGACTACAACTGATCTGTCACATTGTTATATTGCAAGAAGTGGGCCAAAGGATAATTCGGGTAGATGCACGATCGAATTGCACTGGTTCATACAGCTTTTAGGTATAACAGTTCAGACCAAGTTCGGTCGGGAATAGGTTGTCTATTCAAGTTTCAATAACGACTATTGTGAAGGTTTAACCATGCCCCGGGAATTCTGATGTTCGAATAGCATTCCCTGTTTAAACTATCCGCTTATTAGACACAGTCACAACAAATTAACACAATTCAATCATTCACTTTTACGCAATACTCAAAAGAAGCACAACACTGAATGGATCTCTGTTTGATTGACGACAGTCAGTGTTCCATGCCAGAAATATAATGCTAATATACCCTACGGTGCTCATCTAGAACCGATCGCGCGTGCATGTCCGCAGGCAGAGTCCACTGGAAAAGCTGTATACTATTAGTGGCATGATGGTATTGTAAAATAAAATACATCTAATTCACATCAGCTCAGTTTTAATTATTTTGCCTTTGATCGACCAAACTTCTCACTTCAAGGTCACACCTAATGTTCTTAGTTCATCCGATCAGCCATATATATCTGTGATAAACCAGTCTTAAATACCAGTCTCATCAGTGGTACATATCTACCGGCATGTGAAGTGGTTGTATCTCAAGTTCTTCCCAGAGATAGCCAGTGCATTTCCACTTGGCCAGCCAGCTCATATTCCGGTGTTTTTTTTCAGAATAACCGAGTCAATTCTGTTTATACACCGTCTTCAGTAGCATTCACTCTCTTATTCGCCCGCAGATACAGTTGCCATTTATTCTGCCTCAATCATGATGAACGAGAAATCTGAAGCTTACATAACATAATTGTTATGTTTCAAAGCCAGTTTCAAAGGCATTCTTTGCGAGTCTAAATTGTTGAAATCAAGATGTCCTACTTTCCAGTCTCTCCAAGTACGATCTAATTATGGTGGAAACCAGATCTAGAATATTGGTGAATCTGAGATTCCCGGCAAATATGAAATCAATCGTTAATTCGATCATCAAAGTGTGTGTGTGTGCTTAACCTGTAGCAGAGGAGATTCGATGTTAAAAAATAGCTTGACTGACCGCGCAATGCGTCCGTTATTCAGGCGAACACTCAGAGAACCTGTAAGTATCCAGCAAACATTTGTTTAGCATGTCTTCTCAGAGTTCATTTTTTCCGCTCGTGACAACCGCTTTCCGTATCCTAATGAATCGTTTGATTTTTAGATAAGGACCAATGGTCTAGCACGGATCTTGACGAACCATCGCTAGATACGGCGGGATCATCATCATCTTCTTTTGGGTCGTCACCGTCGAGCGCTTTGGGTCACTGGTCCAGTTGGGGCCCATGGACACCATGCAATCAAGCATGTGTACCTCCAGTCAGTGTGACTGCTACGGCGAATCACCGCGTGATCCCGGTTACTCCGTACTCGGCCCCACTCTATCTTCATGGTGGTATACAATCCCGACGTCGCACTTGTCTTTTTGCCTCAGTCTATGATTGTCCGGGCGGTCCCAGTCAAGCCAACGAATCACGTGCTTGTCCACCGGTACCAGCTTGTCACACTGACTGGTCCTGTTGGTCAGATTGGTCCACATGCCAGGCTCGACCGGCAACGAACGGAGATAGTATGTTGATCTATCCGGTGGCTAGTTCGGGTAAAGCACAATGCGAATGGAAAACGGACGGAATACGTAAACGTGTGCGACAGTGTGTTCTGGGACAAAGTGATTGGCTGGCAAATCGACCGCCCGCATGTTCAGGCCCGATGGATGAAACCGAAAGCTGTCCACGATTGGTCGGTCAAGGAACACCAGTTTGTCCACCAGGTAAGTCAATACAAAATCTCTATTAGCTCCGTCTGTTTTTTATTCACCTACGAATGGTTGGGGCAATTGTGTGGCTCTCTTAAAATTTCTGTTGTTATTCAGCTGTACAGACCAGGACAATCTCAGAACCTAATTAGTTTGTCAAATAGAGACATCCGCCTGTGGAAACAAATGGGCGGCGGCGGTAAACTGGAAGATGTCAAGGCTAGTCTCACATATGGTCTTGGCGGGCGAAGAAAACACAGTAAGGGCTGAGGGACTTTATTTCTACGTAAAGCGTGGTTCTACGGAAAAAGGTAATCAGTCAATAAACGATAAATTCAAACAGACCCACGATTGGGTAACTTAAAGTCAATGTACAGTATAATGCAAACGTACTCCGGGCTCTCGTAGCGTAGCGGAGCGAACGGATATGCACGATAGAATGTCTCTCGGCTGGTATTCTCACAGTAGACGATACGAAGCATTGCAGGCGACAAACGACGGCGGGGAACGGTGGTAGGGATGCGGGACACGGGTTGGCGAGGAACCACTGGTATACAGGTCTTTCGTAGATCAGGGTTGAAGTTAAACCTGCAAGGCGAAGCAAACAAAACGCCATGAACTGAAAATGTGAGATACAAGCACTCATGATGAAATATTACTGGCGCGGTTGCCAAACGTTACAACAGGCAATTTCAAACATGGCGGTACAAAATGACGTGTAAGATCATGATACAGTCCAACCAAAACAAACGTTTACCGTTGTAAACACCGAAAAATATAACAGTAGCAAACAGTTACTGAATTATTATTATTATTTAATGGTTCAATTTTGGTGTTCTGTCATTTGGCACTAGTTATTCAGTGTAGCGCAGTCCTTAGATATCGTCATTTATATTTAGACTACTTGAATATTTATAGTAGTCAAATTGCAAATATTGAAACATTAAACTTCTCTTTCGGAAAATTTACACTACCTTTCCCTATTTTCTATCATATAAACTATCTTAAATATGGACTATTATTACCAAACTTATTTCGCATACAATCACCTAACTAGAGATTTGAATGTTGAAGAGGCATGCGGTGCCAGATCCATTATCTGTGTGATCCATAAGAAACTGCTCTCCCAATTATCCAGTGCAGGGAAATAGTGCAACTGTTCGCTTATCAATCTTCGTTATCTCCCTTAGAATAAATTGATCTTGTAACAAGAATCCATCTCATATTCCGCTGCGTAATGCTATTTATCTTCCCTCATTTTCCTAACAACCGCTGAACGAATGTCTTGATGGGTATTGCGATCTGCGCCGGTTGCAGCCAAACGGAGTGAAATCTTCTAGGTGGACAGCTTTTACTTTTTGCTTGCTTGGTTTTTTGATGGTTGATGAAAACACTTAAGTCTCATCTAATCAATGGTTAATGGGGTTCAGTTATTACTCAAGCCTTATCCGGAAGGTAATCAGCTGGATTTCAAAACGATGTGTTTCAATCAACCGCAAGTGATTTCCGACGGCCAATAATGATTGACCTAGACGATAATATAGAAAAACTTCAGAAAAAAAGAAAGGAAACTTTCTTTAGCGATTAGCCTTTCAGAGTACTGTATCACAAATTGATAATAATATATATTCAGATGATTTGTGTTGATAAACCTTTAGAGATTTTTCTCACACACAATCCTCAATTGACGCGAGTTTTTGGGCTAACTAGCTCACAAGGGTGCCAGCCAGAACCATCAACTCAAGTTCGCTTAGGTGAAGTAGTTGGCCCAGTGGTACAACCCACACCTTCCCTGCGATCGGTCCGGCTTTCGAAACCCGGACGAGACGACAGATATTCACTACTGATAAGCTTGAAGGACAGGGATAATGGAGTCCGGTGTTCCCCGACTGCACAGTTGACTGGATAGATCAAGTCTGAACGTTGGTTAGTCTAAATCAATAAAACTTATTTCACATCACCACTCGCGAGTAACTGAGTTGAACGTAAACTACGCTGAACATTAAATATTCAGAGGTGGAAGGGCGTCGTAAAAAATGCCGCTTGTATAATGAGACTGAATAACACCGTCTGTCATGAGGAATGAAGTAAAGATCTGCACCGCAGAGATCAATTAGGGTTAATCTAGGAGCAGCAAATGATAAATTCATTTATTGACTGGAAATTTATATTCAGTGGTTATCAACGCTGAATTGACAACCAGTCTTGGTATAATGCTGTGGTTACATAGAGAAAATATTCCCACATTGGTGGTAAACAATCAGTGCAGCTTTATGGCGTCTACATCGAAGCCACTAAAATAACTCAGTTCGCTTGTATACCTATCCAATTCCAACTTGTTTTTCTTTCATCTTTCAGATGAAAGAAAAACAAGTACAGTACGGTATTTAGAGCAAACACAATTTGGTGAAACAGTTGTTTTTCAGTCACCCATCCTCAAGCTGTTTGCGTATTACATAGGTAACATTAGAAAACAGATCACACAGTTAGACACGTCACCAGTCATGGGTAAGAGCTTGTCATAGTCAACTCGCCCTTGTCATTTGATTGGTTTAACTAAGTTTGGGCCTCACGGTGAACGAACGGCGGACACACTCGGGCCTGATTGATCACGGGCCATGGAAGTTGGAGTGACTGATCCAAACACTTTGGGCACAGAAGTTAGGGGTCAACTTTCTTATCTCGATCGATTCGGCTATTGCTAGAGTGCACAGTTGAACACACTTGCACTCGGTGTGGGGGACACGGTAAACAACTTTGAAGGCGATGTCTGGATTCATTTAATGACTGGTGTCGACTAAGTGGGCTAGGACGAAGCTGTTTACAAATCCTGGCCATCCCAGTCTTAACCAGCGTGGGTGATACTCTTTGATACGGGTAGATAGCTATCATGCCGTTCGACCCATATAATGAAACCTGCAGAATAACCTACACCTTTTTATCCGCAATGGAATTCTCATTATTCCGTCTCCGCCTCACTCCACGCCTCCTTACCTCTCTATCTCTGATCTGTTCCCCGCAAAACGATGTACGGAATCCCAGAACAGGAAGTTCAATGGAGCTCCTGGTCCCTGTGGAGTTCTTGTGAGGAATCGGTCATACTACGTCCCCGGGTTATGAACCCCGAGACCCGACACCCCGTTGTCGTATTCCGATCCCGCACACGTCGGTGTATCAACCCGGCTGACTCGATCCATTTGAGACCACCACCAATCGGAACGGGCACGTGTGTCGGCATGTGGAAACAGATGAGAACGTGCCCAATCGGAGCGATTCGGATGGTGTCAGGTACTGCATTACAGTTATCGCTCTGCCTACATGACTTTTCGCCTATTGTGGCTTCTTAGTATCTCGGGTTTACCCTATGGAATACATATCATTCTATTCCGTGGAACTTACGTCATAGACCTGAATTTTGCAGTACACGGGAATTTATATAAAATATATAAGAGCAAATATGTTAACCTAAAGATTAGAAACTGAAAAAAAATAATTTAACCATATAAAGAATATCTGATCGAAATAAAATGCAGCATATATCTCTTGAACCAACGAACACAGAATGTAATACAAACTAAACCAGAAGTTTCTACTAACTATGGTCATCACTCAGATGAAGATATCAGTTACCCTTTTCAGCTTTAGCAGAAATAGAAGTCAAGATCTAGGAGGCAAATACTGACCCTGATGAACTGATACTTTTGGAAAATGCTCTTCTTGGCTAAGCAGTAAATTCACATCATCGGTATCGTCCCCATTGGTACTGGAAAGCCGCATACTAAGAGGTGTTCATCATTCAAGCTTTATAATTTACAGCTCAGTACTCAAAAAATATTTTGTGCCCTGTTAAACTTACAAAAATTTAAGAGTGTACGGAGCGTTTGAGAACAAATAAAGTATGTATGAGAGAAAGAAACGTTTATCATTATGTGAAGGGTTTAAAAAGCTTTAAAATATAAGAGTATAATAAACTCAATAGAACGCCGTGGATTTTCATCTATCGTGGGGGTCTTTGTAAATTGACTCCAGCCATATGTGAGTGTTCACTGTATACGCTATAGAGTGTCGTTCTAATCTAAATTTCAATAAATTCGATCTTCTTACGTGTTGGAAATAACTCAAATAGAGAGAACGCTGGTATAGGTGCGTCGGTGGCACAGACCAAAAAGCAAGTAGAACAAACGTAGCGACGACAGCGCCCGCATTCATTCAGCAGTACGGCATTCTGTCCAGGCAGTCTCTGCTTCTCAGTCTTTGGACCGAAAAATGATTGAACAGAGAAGTGAGAAACATGGATTTTCACAATGTGTCCATGGTCATTTTGCTGCATCTGTACAGGTGCATACTGTAGTCAGTGATTTTTGTATCCACTGGTATAATAGCTGTGAGACGAAGACAAGACTGCTAATCAAAACGGACAACACGATAAAACAAAAGATAAAGGTCTGAGGGAGAGAGAGAGTAAAGGGTCAAAATCACCGAGGCAAAGCGAATGTGAATAACCATTCACATTGTTTACATAGACTGGATTTTGGAGTATGAATGGCTAGAGCTTTGGCAAATTTCAGTAACTTTGCGTTTGTTGTGCTGTGGATGACCCAAAATGCGTGAATTGGAGTGACACAATGTTTTTGTTCGAATAAGTGTTATGTTATCAAAGATCTACGTCTTTTTTTGATCATTCGATGAGGTAATGGTTACAAACTTGTGGCCATCGCATTCTATAGCAGCACCGTGATGTGTTCGGCTATTCAGTGACTTAACTGCCTGTCTGCTCATGTAGATGGCCTAGCATCCACACACTTGAATTGGTAATTTCCTTTGGCTGAATGAGGCAGTGGTGCTTTCACCGATGTCGTTAGTATCCGGGTTGTAATGAAGATAATGACTGGGGCAACTGCGTAATAGACCCGCTTAATGGCAGATTTCAACCGCTTGCCTACTAGTTCACTCAAGTCATCATTTTGGTATACTAACTTCAAAAAATTTTCATTTGAGGGACAGTTATTGGTTCCTTTAATTTTTATTTTACTTTACTATGCTTGGGGGTGATTGCACCTGGATATCCGATTGTGTGCAGTACTTCCATTAGGAGATCACTTTCATCGTTTAAAGAGTGTTCTGTGCATATTTCAAGAGCCGGAATAAATAGTGTGCGAACGAGACCAATTTTGTATCACATGGAAGTGATAGTGGTGAAATGCCAGTATTGCCCAGATCCCGTAATTTTTAGGAAGACAGATCTTTTCATTGATCCAGCTGGTCGACGAGTAATATTTATATCTAAAACCTCGATGCGGTCATCCCGTTCGTCATGACAAGTGAGCTGGATGTTCGGGTGAATTGTGTTGAATCGGTGAAATAGGTTTTCTCCATCTTCCTTGATGTTGTTTATGACGAAGTTATCACTAACACAGCGATAGTATAGGTTTAATTTTGAAATATTCTCTTCAAGCCTTCCTTCTAGGTAGCGGTGAAAAATATCTACCAGGATCTACTCATAACTATTATCTAGCTGACTACACAAATCACTTTGACTGCAGTGTGCACGCGTACAGACGCAGCGAAATGACCATGAATACATTGTGTCCAACTTCTCTGTTCAGTATTTTCAGTTCCTCTAAAAATGGTTTCCAATGTTTATTTACTAGCTTTCTTCTTCCGGACATTTTGCTCTGTCAATTCCATTTCAACTAGTATAATAATACTTCATATCAAAGTGAATTTTATCCTCATGAAAACATATATAAGGGTTCCTGTAAGATTAACACCTATCATCTTCGTTTGTTATATTTTGTTAAATACTATTAGTGAGTAGCCATTCGATTTCAAGCAGATTTGGTGATTATGGATAGTGTTTTATACATTACTGTTGCAATTGTCGATTCGGGACATCATGTATTGCTTTTTTCATTTCTCCTTTCCGTTATATCCCTTATTTTCACAGCAGGCACTTCAGTCTCTTTTACGGAGGAACGTCACTCTCGGTTCACAATACTTCAACTCTTGCTTATTGGTTCATTGGCTTTCTTGATCGCCGCGTTTCTGGTAGCCCTCATTCTCATAATACTATATTGCACGTGCTGTTCACCGACTGATGCTGGGCGTAAAGCGATTCATCGACACAGCAACGTATACGATCAAGCCGAAGGCTCCGGATCTGAGACACAATTTGATGAACCCGCCAGTTCCAAGCATTACCACAGCCGTGATGCAGGCCCATTGAATGTGACCGGTCCACCGCAACCGCTGCTCACTTTGCCAACATCTGTAAAAGCCGATATAATGGATTCACGGCTTAATCGAACTCATTTCGGTCGCACTAATCCACCCCAAGCAGTGTATGACTCTGTGGCTTCTCAGGATTTGCCCACTTCTTTTAGTCTTACCGAAAATCCATTCCACATGGTTCCAAGTCCGTACACACATGCCCAGAGCCCAACACATCCGATTCCGCGTGATTCACTTGACCGAGCCTACTGGAGTCTACCCAGACGGGAACGTACCACCCCCCATTTTACTCCGGAACGATCCAAACCGGATGATTATGTGGGTACCGATCATTTTAATTCATACCCACGTCGTTCGAGAACATTTGATTCACGTAACTTTGACGACTTCGTTTCTACTTCATACGGTAACAGACCGATTAAATCATCCCATCCCGGTCCAGGAAGACAACCGGAAGCTCGTGGATCGGCAGAGCTTGGTCCGCGATATAATCAGAAAAAGTACGGAAACGATCGAGAATATTCTACGGATTCAAGACATACTAAATCAAGAACAAGACGATCAACAGATCGATCTAGTGACAATTCGCATCGTTTAAATCGGAATGAAGAACCGCGTATTGATCCGATGAGACCATTATATCCAGAAGATGGGGATAGCTTCAGTTGTAGGACTTCCAATAACAGTTCAAGATCGGATGAAAGCCGTCCATCTAATGCAGCTGGTGTACCGCCTTCTATGCCTCTTTTACCGGTTCGATATCCACCCGGAGGTAGCCGAACATCAGAGCGCAGTCGATCGGCCACCGGTGCCAGTATAGATTCTTCAATGGATTGGGGTCCCGATACCAGTTCTGGTCGGAGTGAAATTTATTCAATTTGTTTTGAACGACCCCAAAATCCGCATCTACGTGACCCGTCCTCCCAGGGACCGAGTCCGACAGAACGGGGACGCAGTGCACACAACACATAAGCACACTTGCCACCTTCGTATTTCCCTGATCCACTGACCAAAATTACGTGTATTTTTTGGCTTCTGTCCAAACCGCCCCCCCCTCCTCGCCTGTCTGTCCTAGCTTTTCTACTTATACTTTATATGTGGCAAGCAGTCAATGGTATATGTATATGCATGTATATCGTTTGGCATTACAATCTGTATAGTTTATAAGAATGTATGAAAGACATTTTACACCTCACCTAGTAAATAGGTACACATTCCAAAACATTTTGACAACCGTATTTGAATACAAATGTCTTTATTTTTTTCTCATCTCTCACCGGAGTTTCGTTCGATCCAAATGTAATGGTAATGGAAGTAGTAGTAGTGAAGTTACGCACAGAATTCAGGACACGAACTACGCAATAGGAATCACCACGGAACACGATAGAAAACCGACCGCAATGGCTCGAACTCGCAATAACCCGCCGGATCGAGATGCGAGGAAAAAGGCCACAAGACAGGCGAATCACAAAGTCGTTTATTGAGGGAAATGAAAGTGAATATCGATGTACACAAGAAAAGGTCATTTGTTCCTTAGTTTCCACCGATCATATTGCATCACATCTTGCGTCATACTGCTCTTCTCTGCATTGTATCTGATTGGCTGGAACGGCCTACCGATGACGTGTATCCGGAGGCTGTGCACGTGCCCCTGGCGTCATTGCTCAAGGTCGATTGACTACCAATGTCTGGAAACTGTATCGCGCTGTTCCAAGGCAGACGTCATCTCGTAGATCCGAATCATCACAAAATCCTTCTAAACTCATGATGATTTATGGTGACATAACTCTACCTGTGTTTCCTCTCTGTTGACATTCCTCAATCACAAACATCATATATTATTCTTTATCTGCCAAT